ATCTGGCGCCCAGCGCCCAGCCTACACTACTCAGCCTATCTTTCCTATCTACGTTCATGCGACTGGATCACATCGCAGTCAGATCTGGCGCCCAGTGCCCAGCCTGCACTACTCAGCCTATCTTTCCTATCTACGTTCTTGCGACTGGATCACATCGCAGTCGGAGACCAGTGTACGGGACGTCAACACCTATGCCGGCCACCAGTGAAACGGTTTCACCCAGTTTACCCGACAGTTGCAGATCCCATGACTCGATCCCTAGACCTACCCCGTAACCCTGTACATTCCCATGTGAGATTTCAACCCGCACCCTGTCCCTAGACCCTTAGGTTAGTTAGGTGTTAGGTCTTGATCCGTAGACCTTCATATTAGCAGTCTAGCGTCTTACCATTAGGTCTAGCCTAGGGTCAGTCCATGTTAGTCCTAGCTGTTACTAAAAGGTCAGTCTGTAGGTTCTAGAAGGTCGTAGGGCAGTTTACCGCGTCTGAGTCAGCAAATAGGCACAGTCCACCTCGTCCAGTCAGCAAGTACCAGGTGAGGGCCCACGTGGTTTGGGCCCTCCAGGCCCACGCGGTTTGGGGCCCAGAGGCCCACGCATTTTGGGCCCTCCAGGCCCACGCGGTTTGGCCCAGGGCCTGGGGCACGCCAAGCTACTATTATGAAACAGTATAAATAAAGTGGCAGCGCTCAGCCATTCATTCATTCGCCTGTGAGCCATGCGGAAGCGCTGCTGGAGCGACTTGTGCGGAGGAAGTCTGCACATGCCCGAAGCTGAAGTGGGCAGAGGAAGACGACGGCGGCCATAGTTAGGAGGAGGAAGACGACGGCGGCCATAGCCGCCAGCTGCTGATGTCAACAAGAGAGAGACTGTAGTGTATGTGTGACGCGTGGACATTCAGGGTGGATCTTCGTGCATGTGTGTGTGAGTGAGGGTGATGGCGATGGTGGAGATAGTGTTCAGTTGGAACTTCAGACAGTGTTCAGGGGCCATAGCCGCAACTTGTAACAGTTTCCTTAAGCTGAGTTCCTGGCCAGAGGCCATATCTCCGAGTTTTCTGTGTGGGCGCATGTCGCCATAGCAAGTTCATTGCTGACTCTGAGTTCGTGAAGTTGGTTTTTCCGTCGGCACGTACATTTATGCACGTTGCAAGCGAGATTGGGACAAGTCTGATTTCACTGGTATCAAAGCTGGTTCCCGTTGTCTACGCCATAGAGACAGAGCTGCGGAGAAGAAGGAGGCCGCCATTGCTGGATGCGACAAGGAGAGAGAGAGGGAGGGATAGAAAGAGGTATCCCTGAGAAGGAGGACAGACATCCCACCATAGCGGACGGCGGCCATAGCCGCCAAGCTCGGAGAAGGAAGAAGAAGACCATTGAAGAGGACGAAGGTGACGCAAGCGAGAGAGAGAGATAGGTGAGAAGGTGAGAGAAGGGTAACGCAGGGGAAGACAGGCCATAGCCAAGCGTTGACGGACAAAGTGTTCAGCGGCCATAGCTGCAACTTGTAACAGTTTCCTTAAGCTGAGTTTCTGGCCAGAGGCCATATCTCCGAGTTTTCTGTGTGGGCGCATGTCGCCATCGCAAGTTCATTGCTGACTCTGAGTTCGTGAAGTTGGTTTTTCCGTCGGCACGTACATGTATGCACGTTGCAAGCGAGATTGAGACAAGTCTGATTTCACTGGTATCAAAGCTGGTTCCCGTTGTCCATGCCATAGAGACAGAGCTGCGGAGAAGAAGGAGGCCGCCATAGCAGGGTGCGACAAGGAGAGAGAGAGAGGGATAGAAAGAGGTATCCCTGAGAAGGAGGACAGACATTCCACCATAGCGGACGGCGGCCATAGCCGCCAAGCTCGGAGAAGGAAGAAGACGACCGTTGAAGAGGACGAAGGTGACGCAAGCGAGAGAGAGATAGGTGACGAAGGTGAGAGAAGGTTGACGCAGGGGAAGACAGACGCCATAGCCAAGCGTTGACCGGCAAACTTTGACCAAGCGTTGACCGACGATCTTGATCAAGCATTGACTGGCAAGATTTGGCCAAGGAAGGTTGACTGGCGTTGACTGGCAAGCGTTGACCAGTGTCGTTGACCAAGCTGGAGCACGAAGAGTGGAGCGGTATGATCGCTTCAAGCCCTGGCCCTGTGGATGTGCACACTCACCTTGGTGCTTGCTGAAGAGTCAGTCTGTCATCTCTTTCTACATCGAGTCAATTCTGTCCAGGTCAATAGACTATGTGCATGTGGTCAGATAGGGGCTGTGAGCCAGTGTCTGCAAGAGACTTAGTAGGGGTTGAGGTGTGTCTACCGCTAGACGACCTGGGAAAACACCCCAAGGACCGGTACAGACCGGCAGGTTGCTCTGGGTGGCATACTACACCCGAACTCCGAGCTGCAGAGCGGGTGTCCAGTCTGTTTAAGTCTTGAGAGGACTTTGGCTATGATCGTCATCCTGTCTGTGACGTTAAAGAATTCTTGAGGAGTTATGGGGGATCTCCTTAAATGCCTCCTGATCAGCAAGTAAGTCTTGTAGTGACAGACTAGTGTAGTTTAGGCTAGAGGCGAGTAGTTGACAGAGTGTCGATCTGAAGCGGAAGCTAGGTGGGTTTCGTTGACAGCGGTTCCGACCACATCCGTCGGTTGTGGCAAGTTTCGGTGACAGTGGTTGTGAAAGCATCCGAAGGTTGTGGAAAGTTTCGGTGACTGTGTTTGTGCTCGCATCCGTCGGCTGTGAAAAGTTTCGGTGACAGTGGTTGCAAAAGCATCCGTCGGCTCTGGTAACCTGGCTAGAGCTGAAGAAAGACCTTTGTAGTCCTTTAGAGAGTCGTGTGGGTAAGTCTAAGTGTCGAGGAGTGGAATCGCTAGTGATTGCGCCCTTGTCAACATGGTGACCACCCGGACTGGAACGAGTACCACCCCCTATAGCAAAGCACAGGAAGAAAGGGCCGCCGCTATTCTCCGCGAGAAAAAGGAGAAGATGGAGAAGAGAGAGTTCATCAAGCAGGCTAAGAAGTTGGCCCTGTTAGAAGAAGAGGCGGCCAAGAAGAAGCAAATGGAAGAAGAGATGGAGAAGTGGAAGAAGCAGCATGAGGAGCAGTTGGCCGCAGTCGAGGCCGAAGTAGAGGAAGAAGAGGAATTAGTGGACCCCGAAGAAGAAGAGACCTTGGGAGAAGAAGGGGGGAGGCAAGTTTCAGTAGTGCTCCACCAGAGGAGGTGGAGAAGGTAGTTAAGGAAAAGGTAGCTACTTTATCATTGGGGAAAGATAAAGAGGCAGAGCTGATGATACCCCAGACGGAGAGGGAGGCGGTGAACAGAGAGCTGGAAGAAGAGAGGGATCCTTTGCGGCGACAAACAAGGGAGCAAGAGAAGCAACTGGAGTGGAAATTGCACCTAGCACGGGAGAGAACAAGGCGCTTGGAGGTGGCAAAGAGGGTGGAGCAGGAGTTGAAGGCGGTGGGGACAAGGATGGGGAAGATCCAGGATGAGACCGAGATAGGAAAGAAGATCGACACCCTGTCCCAAAGCGTAGAGTCCTTACATCGAGCACAATTAAAGCATATTCGCGGCAATGATATCGCGCCCGAGTTCGTACAAGTCGGATTTCGAGAATTTGCACAGGACATGATGACCCATTTGATTAGGGAGATCCATAGAGCGATAGGGAAAAATGAGAAATTTTGTACGGGGGCCATAAAGGGTTCCACGATAGCGGCTCCTAAGGAAGAAGAGACCAGAGCCTACCGCGAAAAGGTCAAAGTCCGGTTCCCTGAGCCGTATAATGGGAAGAAGGGGGAAGATTTTGACAATTGGGAGGCCAACGTCCATTCATATATGTATTTGTAGGGCGTAGCACCCGAGGAGCACGTCCTAGTAGCCTTCCAGGCTCTGAGAGACGAGAGGCGGCTAGCTTCGCGCGGTCGCTTGCGCGCGCAGCTCACTACGAAAATGACGTGATCTAGTATTCCACTATTAGCCACCTCACCGACTTTCTCGCAAAGTTGCGAGAACGCTTCGCGGACGCCACTAGCGTTATAAAGGCGTCCGATACACTCCAGATGATCCATACGCGGCAGTGGAGGAGTGTTCATGCTCTCAAATCCGCTATGGATGAGGTCATCGTTGTGCCTGACCACGGAGTGATTGACACACAACTCGTCCAACTCTTCTACCGCGCGTTGCCCGAGCATGTGCAAGGGCACTTTTCGCCAAGCAACAACCAGAAATGACTTATGATGTCCTTAGTAAGGAGGTTATTTTATTTGCTACCGAAGCTGCGCCAATAACCACTTTCTGG